AGCCCTTGCTACACCTGAACCCTACAAAACCTATCTTTTTAAGGCCTTACATAAGGAACCCTGAAGAATGTACGTAGGTTCTTTAGGGTCCAGGTAGTTCTAGCATACTATACCCTAAACCCTGAACCCTAAACCCTAAACCCTAAACCGTCTGCAGTCTGCCTCTTGTGGCCTCCGGGGATTCGGGGTTCTTGGAGATGTACACAATTCCTGATGCAAGTATGGTACAACATACCCTTACCCTAAGCCCTAAACCCTAAACCGAACCTCTATTCTAGTCCATACCCTTATAAGTTACCCTAAACCATAAACCCTAAACCTAAACTCCATTCTAGTCGATACGGCCCCTGGAGTGCATAGGGATCCTGATTGGTCGTGTGCCTTTCGGTGTTTCGGTTAACTAGGTTCTTTTTCAAGGACTTTTCCTAGGGCTACTTAGAAACACTTTTTTATTTGGGGGGTAAACCCTCGACCCTAAACCCTACACCCCTGAACCCCTAAACCCGAAGCCCCTGAACCCTAACCCTGAACCCTAAACCCTGAACCCCAAACCCACAGCTTAAATCACAACTATTGCTAGGGCCCCAATTTCAGTACTGTTGAAGATATAAATCCTGCATTACCGTAAGGACCCGAAAATATGGGAATTAAGGTATATTCCTTATTGTGGGTAAGAGGATTTATATCATCAACCCTAAATAGGCATCCATGGTAAATAGGCGGTTTCCTTGTCATGATAAACCAAACTAGTGTATAAGTTCCTCAGTTCCATAAGGGGGGTCAGGGATCGGTTGAGATTTGGTGGCGCTTTTACGGTTATGGTTTGGTCGGTTTGCTAAGTTTGTGTGAAGTAGAGGGTTGGTTCAGGTGTTTAGGGCTTTGTTGTTTGGTGGACTGTTGGCGGGGCAAGGTCTGAGAACCCTAAACCACAACCAAAACCTGTAAACCCGAACCCTAAATCAAAATCGCTGAACCTCACCCTTAACCCTAAAGCGCTCTTATAGTTTCCTTGACTACACCCTAAACCGCTTTATAGGACCGTAAGCCCTAAGCTAGCTCAGCATCCTCGGATCTCAGTATGTTCAGGGACATCCCAATTCGGTACGACCCGCTTGGTATAGTTACATGGCACCTTGGGGTTTGATCCTAACCATAAAACTCGATGCCCTAAGAAGGAATGGGGTATGACCTTCTATAGGTATAGTTACAAACCCTAAACTGTAAACCCTAAATCTTGGCTTGGAGCCTCCGTGAAGGCGGCGATGTCATCCGATGGCAACACGGCGCTTGAGCAGATGGGGCTTTGGTGCGCCATTTTTGCTGCCATGCAGGGTTTACAGGTGCACAGCTTCCAAAACGTGCCATTAAAACCCTAACCCTTAGCCTTAAACTCTAGATTTCGAATTTTAAGGCCCGAAACATCAACCCTAAATTGCGGCTTCTGGCTGCATGGTGGGGTCTGAACATTTGCGCTAGGCTGTCCGTGGTTCCTTGTTGGTCTACTAGTGTACGGAGGTGGCCTTTCGTGTGCATGCTACTTTCAGTCGGCTCTGGATGAACATCTTTCAGTGTCCAAAGTAGCCATGTAGGAACCCTACACCCGAAACTCTGAACTAAGGTCACTGTCTGAAACCCATTGCCATGATGCCGAACTCTTACCCCCTGGAAGTGTGCGCTGCAGCCGCCCAAGATCCCCCAAAGCCAAGCCAAAACCACCAGGGTCCTTTTTCAAAGGGGTCCATTGAACGTTGTATAGTCCATAAGGTTTATCCGGTGTGCAATAAGTTGTTGAGTATAGGGTTTGCTACAGGGTGTTTGTATGTGTATATATATATACACACATGCATATATATATATATATTGTATATATATATATATGTATGTATGTAGGTGATAGACAGGTTGGTACATAGACGGATAGACAGGTAGACGGATCGATGGATAGATGGACAGATAAAGGAAGCAGGGGAGCGAGGGAGACAGACATAGAGAGCGTGGACACTTAGGCCGTTAAGGAGTGTCTATAACTAGGTATATACTATTTGGGCACATGGACTCTTAGGGATTAGCTACTTCACTGGCAAAGTATGTACTTTAAAGGAGATGGACGTTTAGGAAACCGTGCAGCCTTCCTTCCGGAGGTACTGCCGTGCCTGTATTACAGGAGCACCTGCCCTCGATGGTTTCCCTGGCATGCTTTTCAAGTCTACAGTTCTAGGGCAGATTATAGGGCTCTCAGGAGTGTAGGTGTAGGGTTTAGGGGTTCGGGTTTGGGTTTAGGGTTTAGGGTATAGGGTTTAGGGTTTATGGAGGGGGTTTAGGTGCATAGGCGTTTAAGCTAAGGCTATACTTCGGGGCTGGGATTTGTTGCTTTGCGGGGCTGTCGGGCTCGAGGGCTGGTAGTAGGGTTTCAGGGTTTTCAGGTTAGGGTTCAGGGTTTGGGGTTTCCAGGTTCCGGCTGTATTGAAGGGTTTGGAGAATTTACATGTCTGGGGCGACTGCAGCGGCTCAAGACCCCAAAGTGCCTTCACACCCGACTGCAAGCATAGTATCTTGCGACAACCCAAATCCCCAAGTTCTAAACCCCCCGTCTGATGCACCAAAGAAGGATGCTTATTCTGGAGCTCACCCAATTCAGTCATGCTTCTGTCTGAAACAAGTAGACCTCGGGAAGAATCTGCTGCAATACTGCGCGCGGTACGAAATATTCGCTGTTAAGTCCACCCAGGTCGATACTCTAAACGCCCGAAGAAGTTGAACAGATGTTCGCTCCAATTAGTTGTTGCTTATGGTTTTTGGTGGACACCTTTAAGGACTCGGAAAGGAACCCTTCAGGGAACCTCTGCGGTTCCTAAAGGACACCTGAAAAGAACCCTTACAGGAACGCTTAAGGTTTTGTTAGACAGAGAGCAGCGCAGTCGCCTGCTCGAGGATCCAGAGACTGACACACGACTGCAAAGGGCAGTGAATGTCAGTACTACTTAGGAACCGGATTAAGGAGCCCTGGTCCTTATTAGGTTGTTTCTTTTGAATCCTACTATTTTGGTCTTATAGGTCTCCAGCTACCGAGACCATGTACAGGTGTACATGATTTAGGGAACGTCAGTAGTCCTGAAACACCCAACCCTAACCGAACCCGCTGCAAGTGAGCTCTTAAGGCCGATGTCCTCTCGGATGCTCAGAGGATCTACTGTAAACGTGTATGTATACATGTATATATATATATACACACATACTATACTACACTATACTCTACTCTACTGTACTAAACTATATACTGTACTCTGTAATGTATCGTATACTATGACTATTACGTAACAAGTGTGATTAGGGGAGCTATAACCTCATGAACAAACTGCTCTATGAGCCCTAAACCCCCAACCCTAAACCCTAAACCCTAAACCCTAAACCCCTAAACCCTAAACCCTAAACAACTGCTCTATAAGTCCCCGGATCTTTATCTCTGTGCCAGCCGACGGCATGGATGCGTCCACCATGACTGAGAAGGGAACAGAGGGCCAGGCCCGTTGCAGTTGTTCCGACGGGTGTCGGTTTAGGCTTTGGGTTTTGGATTCAGGGTTTGGGATGTAGGATTTAGGGCTTTAGGGGTTTAGGGTTTATAGGATCTAGGAAGTAGAAACCAGACAGACGTTTTTGAGGTGGGTTCTTCTCCGAGCGCAACATTTTTCTTCAACAGACTTTGTTCGGGTGCTTTAGACCCTAAAGGATCCTTCCATTTTATCAGTAACTCTAAATGGGCTACTTTGCCTTGAAGAAGCCTCCGATTCGGTCTATTTCAACCACCGCAGTTTTAAGGCAGTTCAAAAGTCAAGTCCTGCCTAGCGCCTAGGGTGGCCCAGCACCCTAGACCCATTCAGCGCTGCTGGAGGGTAGGGTTTAGGATTTGGGATCTAGGGGTTTAGGGCTTAAAGTTTGTTTGAAGTTGATCCCCTTGTCCCTAGACCGATTCTTTAGTTTAACCCACGAAGAACCCCAAGCCCCAAACCCAAGCCCAGAACGGGCCTCTGCCCCTAAACCCTAAACCTTTGTGGGTCTGGCTTCAACCCTTGCTGTTGGGCGGCGACTTGACGGCCATCGTAAGCCCTAGACCCTAACACCTTAACCTATACTTCTTCGTAGTTTCTTGTCATAAACCCCAATATAGAATTGCTGGGACGCTGCAGAACGTCGGTTTTCGAAGTGCAAGGTAAACCCTAGGCCTGGAGCGGTATGATGTGGTCTCGTGAGCACGACTGCAGTATGGTTGCCGGACCTTAAACTACCACAACCATTTCTTTTGGTGGTTGTGTTTGTAAACCCTCCTATGAAGTTCATAGGGACCTAACAAAAAGACTGGTTTTGGTAGCTCATGGATCAAGGTAACTCCACTATATATAAACGGAACCAGAAACGCCTTGGACCCCTACGCCCGTACCTCTTGTGCCAGTGTTCTGTCGGGTATGGGAGTCGGGTCGTTGCAGGCAGCTCTTTCGTCAGCTGTTGATGGTCCGACGTCATTGGTCACAGAAAAGAAGGGCTGGCCACTGGTGGGTGTCCACCGTGCACCTCGCCGGCTGCAATGATGCTGAAGTGAGCCACATTCATAATTTAGCCATGTAGATCCGCGAACTCGAGTCACGCATGAAGTCAATGCATCTACACCTTTGACTTTCACCCACAGCGAAAGTGAATCCAGTTTGTTCGTCCCAAACTCAACACATGAGTAGACAGAGATAGAGGGATAGATAAACGTCCCATAAACGTATGAACCGGTAGGATCGATAGACAGACAGACAGCCAGGCAGACAGACAGACAGATAGATAGATAAATATATAGCTAGCAAGCCAGCTAGATAGGTAGGTAGATAGATCGATAGCTAGATAGATAGATATGTAGATCAGTGACCGATCGGTAGATAGATCGACTCCCTTTTCCTTGCATTCTCTCGGACCCTAACTCCCTAAACCCTAAACCCCTTTACCCTGCCTCCTCTCGACAGGTGATCCAATCAACCTGGACACTCGGATCTCTTGCGCAGGTGCTCTTTGTTGTACCTGTGGATCCGAAAACCTACCGTTCTAAGGGTGTCATACAGTCATACCCTATAAATTAAGGGCTCATGTGTAGGGGTGGGGGCTACAGGGAAGTTCCATGCATAAGAGCTCAACGGGCTTGCAGAAGTTGCCGAGGGCACTGCGCGCTGCAGTGGGGTTTATTTTGTGGCTGTCGTCATTTGTTGTAGAGTTGTGCATTTACCCTAAGGGTCCATGTACTCATAAAGTATGTTCAATGGCCCCGAAGTAACTATATAGGGACTACAGATGGACCCTCAGGGCTATGAGCTTTGAGGTTAGGGGTTCAGGGGATCAGGGTTCCTCATTTGCGGTTCAGTTAAGGGCCTTGGTTTGTGGGTTTCCGGGCTTAGCCGTTTAGCTTTACAGTTCGAAATGTACCAGGCTTGCTTCCCAAGGAGACGATGGAGCTGCAAACTACCGATGACAGTGGACCACATCAACTGCCGCGTTTCGGAGCAGATCTGTGTATTGACAGGAAACTGGCGTTCTCGAAGCAGCTCTCGGTTGACTCAGACCGGAATGCACATCCCATTCCCATATGACTCTTCCGTTCGATGCTTGAGCACTGCACCCGCTTGATTTCACCCACGTTTTAGCAAGTGCAGAGTTCGACGTCCAAAAGATAAGTCTGCCAACGCACCGGTGAATGACATACTGTTGATGATATAAATCCTGCATGACCTTAAGGGCCCTAAACTATGGGAATTATGGTATGTTCCTTATTATGGGCAATGCAGGATTTATACCATCAACCTTGGTGTTGTGAGCGAAGCCTGATGACCCCGTGATTTGATCACCTAGGTTCAAAGCATCGTTCGAGAGGTTTAGGGCGATAGGTTCTAGAGACGAGGTTAGAAGTATGGGCCCCTAACATGGACCCTTAGGGCTTTCTACGGACCCTAAAGGGTACATATAGGGTATATAGTATAGGTGTATAAGGATCCCAAATTTAGGGGCCCACACTAGGGGCCCTTGGTTGCAACCTTAGACAAGAGAGAGCTCTTCGAGGGACGGGTGGTTGGAGCAAAGGTTTGGAGTCCGGGTTGGTTTCCAGTTGAGGGAGGCCTAGCGCTTCTGGTTAACTGGAGTACACCAAAACCCTCAACCCTAAACCCTAAACCCTTAAGTCGGGGTTTATGGTTTAAGGCTTATGTTCACGACTTGTGCATCGAGGTTGTAGTGAGTGTCTCGTGTGGCAATTCGGCAGGCGCCCAGGGCCTAAAATAAATACGGGCGTAGGGTTCAAATCAATCCCTGAACCCTCTTAAATTACACCCCAAACCCTACACCATCAGCCTGAACCTCAAGCCCTAAACACAACCTAAGCCCTGAAGCTTGTGCGAAAATGGCAGGTAGCTCCTTGAGGATTGGCTTCCTGAAGTGGGTTTAGGGTTTAGGGTTTAGGGTAAACCCTAGATGGATCAAGTCCGCATCAGAACACAGCTCGGTGGCCGTCCTCTTCTAGCTTACTGAGCTCATGACACGAGCAGGCTTTACGCAGTTTGGTGTGCTCGTTTTTGTCTGAAAATCAAAATCTAAAAACCAAGCCTAAACCCTAAGCCCTGAAGCATTAGCCCTACACGCAAACATTGGCAGAAGGAGGTCATGAGTTGGAAAGGCCCGAGTATGGATACAAGGCAGCACCAACGACAGAAGCCCTAAGCCCTAAGACCGAATCAACCCTATGGACGCTAAACCGTAAACCTCAACATCCGAAAACCTACCGTTTGAAGCGTTATCCCTGTATAATTCAGGGGTCTTTCATAACCTAGTATAGTATTTTGTAGGCTTGGGGGCTACAGCTAAACCTTAAATCGTACCTAAACCCTAAACCCCAAACCCCAAACCCCAAACCCTAAACCCTAAACCCCAAACCCTAAAGCCCTGAGTCCTTGAAAACTCGTGTCATCCATAATATGCTATGAAATACGGTAATATGCTATACTTCACTACAACCTGCTAGAATCTATGAAAATTTTCATACTATATCACAATCTACTACCCTAACCCCCCAGGTACCTACTATATAGGGTACTAGAGCCCCTAGGGCCATATATAGTAGGTACCTGGAGGGTTAGGGCTACAGTACAATCACCCTAGACCCTAAACCCTAAACCCTAAACCCTAAACCGTAACTACAGTACAGACAGTGTTGAATCGATGAGGTGCTGGAGTTTCCTTTGGAGACCTATCGACCACTTCCCCCATGGGCGGAGGCCGCCCCGGCTGGGTTCCTTTAAGGCGATCCGTTACGGGTATCAGGGGTTAAGGGTATTAAGGCTGAGGGTTTAGGGTTTAGGGATTTATTAGTGCTAGGGTTGGAGGGTTTGGGGATCTAGGGTGCTAGGGGTGCAGGGTTTAGGGATTAAGGGTGCTAGGGTTTGCCAAGCAGAACCCATGCTACAAGCCTTCCCTCAAACCCCACAGCCCCAAAACCTCAATGCACCCGAAGCCAAGCATCACCGAAACCCCACAGAAACCTAAACCCTAAACCCAAAAATCACCGAAGTCCCTAAACCCTAAACCCTAAACCCAAAAATCACCGAAGTCCCTAAACCCTAAATCCTAAACCCTAAACCCTAAAGAAGCCATGAAGGAGAACAGCTCCGACGAGCTCAGGAGGATCAAGGCCTTCCTGGGAACAGCTCCCGAAGATCACTCAGGGTTTCAGCGGCTTAGGGTGTGGGGGTTTAGGGCGGTTTAGGGTTTAGGGTTTTGGGTTTAGGGCTTTAGGGCTTTAGGGGTTTGGGGTTCAGGGGCTTGGGGGTGGGGGGTTTAAGGCTTCGGGGAAAAGGGGATCAGGGTTCAGGGGTTTAGGGTTTCGGGCCTCTTAGTAAGCAAAACCTCCGGTGCTGGGATTTCGGTTTAGGGTTTAGGGTTTAGGGTTTAGGGTTTAGGGTTTAGGGTTTAGGGTTTAGGGTTGGGGCTTTGGGGTTCAAGGGCTGAGGGATAGCATGCAGGGTTTGGGTACGGGCATTCTCTGCGGGCTCTGGGCATTTGGTTAGTAACTAAAGGCAGGGTTCAGAAAACCTGCCGTTTTGAGTGTTATACCAGGTAATTATGGGCTCATAACCTACTCTTTGTAGGGTTGGGGGCTGAAGGATCCCTAAACCCTATAAACCCTCATAGCCCTAAACCCCAAACCATAAACCCTAGCAGCCCTCATAGCCCTATAGATTTGTGACTCTGGTCCGAATCTTGCTGCCCGGCTGAAAGGGTTCAGGGGCAATCTCGGGTGCGCAAAAATCCAAGTCGGCGCGGCGAAGCGCGAGGGCCAGAAGGTGACAGAGCACGGGTGTTGTGCGGCCTGCTCTGCACAATGTGGCCTGAAGTGGCCCACAGGGGATGAGCTGCTTGCTGGCACGCCTGTCCTGCACGGCATGGAGGATTTGGAGGCCTGTAGAGACAACTGCGAGCTCGGCAGGATCAAGGCTCGTGAGACACTCACGGCCGTGTCCTCGTGGAAGACCATGATGCGAGAGTCCGAACAGGGCTGGGCGGCAGCTTGTCAGTACATGTCGGGCTCGCTGACAACGATGCCAGCGGTCGCAGTGCTCGGCAAGCTGCACAAGCACAGGCGGGCGACTGAGGCGTCTGACACGGTCAAGGCCATGATGGTCTCCCTCGATATCGCGTCCTGGAGCCCACAGAAGGACTTGTCACACGAGGATTCAGGTTTTTGGGGATTTGCCTCTAGGGTTGAACCCTGAACCCAAAACCCCAAAGCCCCCAAATGCTCCCTAAACCCCTAAGGGTTTAGGGTTTAGGAACCCTAACCCTAAACCCCTAAACCCCTAAACCTTAAACCCTAAACCCTAAGCCCTATGTAAACCCTGCGAGCCCTACTCGCTGACATCCCGAACCCCTGATCCCCAAGCATGAAAACCTGAAAAGCCCTGAACCTGAGATCCTAAACTCTAACGTCTTGGCTTACCTAAACCCTAAACCCTAAACCCTATAACCCCAGATGACCCCCAAAAAAGGCTCCTGCCGGGGGCCCCCGGGAGCCTCCAGCGAGCAGATTTCAAGGGCCTAGGGGGCTCCGGGCCAGTCCTAGGGGGTCTAGTGTTTAGGGTTTAGGGTTTAGGGTTCAGGGTTTAGGGCCATCCTGCGTGAGGTTTTCACCCAAGTCTCTGTATAGTGGTCCCAAGTACCCAAGGATTCTTGGTCCTCCTATGCCCAACCTTCACACTCTTTAGGTTGTAAGCTGAAACCTTTCATGTTCGGTGCTTTTTGCGACGAAGAAAATACCTGTAGCCCCCAACCCCTAACCCTACAAAATAGTAGGTTATGATCCCTTAACTATAGGGTATAACCCCTTAAAGCGGTAGGCTTTCGGATCCACAGGTAGAACTTGGGCCCAATGGAGTAGTTTGCTAAACCCGAAACCCTAAACCCTAAACCCGAAACCAAAACCCCTAAACCCCTAAACCCTAAACCCCTAAACCCCTGAACCCTAAGCCCCTTTTAAACCCCCATAACCCTAAAACACCCTAAACCCTAAACCCTAAACCCTAAACCCTAAACCCTAAAACACCCTAAACAGTAGAACAGTAGAGCACTCGAAGCCGCCGGGGTTCAGCGATCCAAGTGGCCGAAGCCCAAAGTCTCAAAGCGTTTCTGGGCGTCTCCAGACCTTCCGAAATCCCGAAATCAAAAGATACCCTTGGGTTTAGGGTTTAGGGTTTAGGGTTGAGGGTTTAGGGTTGAGGGTTTAGGGTTTAGGGTTTAGGGTACCAGAACCTACTTGCTTGTAGGGTCCCTACAAATCCGATATTAAGATGTCATCATAAGAACCTACCCAAAAGTGGGTTTTGGTAGGTTAAGGTATAACTTAAAATCGTACTAGGGATCCTACTCTAGTTTAAGGAATACTCAAGTATATTCCCTAAGCAAGTGATGATTGGAAGGTCTGGGCCCTTAGCAGAGTTCTGGTGGTCCCAAATAGTAGTAGTGGGTACTGCAGAAGCTTCAATAATTACTAGGGTTTAGGGTTCAGGGTTTAGGGTTTGGGGTTTAGGGTTTAGGGTTTAGGGTTTAGGGTTTAGGGTTTAGGGTTTAGGGTTTGGGGTTTAGGGTTTAGGGTTAGTAATTACCAATTTTTGCTCTCCAGGGCTCCTCAGTGAAATTGTTATAGTAAGGAGCCCAAAACCGTAGTACAACAATGAAGGCCCCTGCATTACTGCAGTCAGGGTGAGGCGGAGGTTAACGGCCTAGGGCGACTATTCTGTTTATGGGTTTAAGCTTTGGTATTTGCTGGCTTTTGGCTTTTCAAGACATACGCAGTTCGCGACGGGCTCGGGTTAGAGAGTTTCAACCGCTGCCGTGAAGGCCGAAGTCATCGCGGCAGAGAAAGCGAGGGAGTCAGCTCCGCTGCACGACTGCATTTAGAGCTGCTGATTTCGGAGCTACGCGGGATCTGCTGAATGGTTAGGCAGTGTAGCAGGCCAAACACCGCACAGCAAGCGTAGGAAGGCAGTCGACGCAGGTTTAGCAAAGCCCTCGACCGTTTTCTCTCAACTAGTGCTCACCTGCATGTGGCGACCGTACAGGTCCTGATTATTGCTAAGTCTTCCGCGGTAAGCAAACCGAAACCCTCCCTAAACCCTAAGCCCGAAACCCTAAACCCTAAACCGTGTGCCTGAACTTTGGAGCTTTCGGGCTGCGAGTGGTGCACGGGGTTGTAGTTCTAATGGGAATCTTTAGACGGGGTGTTTAGGTTAGGGTGTAGGGTGTATCACTTTCGGTCTCTTGAGCCAGGAAATACGTACTGCTGATGGCAAAATTCCTGTATTTCCACAGGTAACCAAAACAATTAAAGCTACGTTATCTTCCTTTCTCTTCTAATCCGTATTGTCCGTCAACCGACAGTGCATCCCGGTCGATCTTTGTACTTTCTGCCTTCCCAACAAAAGAAGCCAGGGAGCCAGGGCATCCAAACCCTAAACCCTGAACCGTAACCCCTAAACCTTCCTGTACTCCGGGGCTTGTGGGTTCACAGCCTTGGGGGCTAGGGCACTCCTACGTACCCCCTGTTGGGGTCTAGGGGTTTAGGGTTTAAACCTATTTTTGGCCGGAGATGTCGATGGCTCCGGGCTGGTGGGTTCTCAAGTGCTAGAGGACTCACAGGTGAACGGTTTAGGGTTTAGTTTTTCGGGTTTGGCGTTCAGGGTTTAGGAATTAGGTGTCGGTTTTCTTCAGTTTAAACAAACATCCGAAGGCTTGGTTGAAGTCATTTCCTTGTGTTGTGCCTATATAAGGGCCTAAGCCCTAAACCCTAAACTCTAAACCCTAAACCCTTAACCCTACACCCGGCCCTACACTGAAAGCAGCAGTTTCGTAGAAGTCCAGAAATGCCACGGGGCAGCCTCTTAGTTCCATCCTAGGTTCTCAGCAAAGCAATCCCTTAAACAATGCCAAAGTCAAAGAAGGTTCGGTTCAGGGTTCAGGGTTCAGAGTTTAGGGTTTATAGCGAACCCCAGAAAGTTGGAACATGGATTTAGGACGATTCGTGCTGGGATTCCAAAACTTTACATTAAGGGCATGAGGATCATGATGTTCCAACTTTCTGGCTTCTACCGTAGGGGGGGGAAAGGATTGTAGTCTGCAGGGCGCTCTCTTTGGGTGTCATGTCCTATTGGGGCTTCGGGAACGTCGAACCGCTTCCACCAGGAAAAGCATTTCCTCTGCCACAGTGGGCAATGTCTCGCACATGGCGGCGCGGGCATGAATTGGCGGGTTCCTCTATTGTTTCAGGTCTCGCTGAGCCCTATTTTGAGGAAGAGTTACAAGGACATCATGACCAGAAACACTAAACATACCCTAAACCCTGGTCCATCTGAAACCCCATTGACCCAAACACCCTAAACCCTAAGCCCTAATGCATCTTAAACCCCACTGAGGGCCAAAGTAAGTATGTGGGTGGTTCTCTAAATTAGGGTCCCTTTTTTGGGGTCCTTATTATAATACGGCACCTATTATTTAGGGTACCCCGACTACCCATGTACAGTCCAGGCAGATATGGCCCGTGAGGGTTCTAACTTCTCGAGCCGAATCCCTAAGGTGCAGGGCTCCGGCTTTGAGGGTTCCGGGTATATGGGAGTTTCAGAAAATGAGGGTACCCTTATTTTGGGGTCCTTATAATAGGGATCCTATTATGTAGGGTACTATATTTGGGTCCCCTATTTTCGGAAAGCCCCATATTGCTCAGGAGTTTAGGAGGCTTCGGATGTTCAGGGTTTAGGGTTTAGGGTTTCGGGTTTGGAGTTTAGGGTTTAGGGTTTAGGGTTTTAGGGTTTAGGATTTTAGGTTTTAGGTTCTGGGGTCTTGGAGTGCAGGGTCTAGGGGCATGCAGTTTGAAGTTTAAGATTTCGAGTTTTTACGGTGTCGACCTCAGGGTTTGGCACTGCTTCGTGTCGGTTCCCCGTGGTTTTGTCGTGGCAAAGGCCGCTGCTATCCTCCCCATGCATAGTTAGCCAATGGGAGAACTTTAAATTTTTTGGCCTTAAATATTAGGTATGTCCTAAAAAGTTTGAACTTTTTTTGGGCCTGGTTGTTGAAGAAGAGAGTATGCATAGCCCCACATCCAATCCCTATGTCCATAATTCCCTACACCTTAAGCCCCAAACCCTAAACCCTAAACCCCAAACCCTAAACCCTAAACCCGAAGCCTCAACCCCAACCCGGCCGGAAACACTTAGGAAACCAAAGAGGACATAAGCATAAGGACTTTCAAGGATATCCCTATATACCTTGTTGGCCTTATTGGGCTTCATTATGAGGGGGTTTATATGGGATGTCCCTATCCTAATTTGTCATTATGTGTCTTTTGGGGGCCCTGCTCCCCAGCCTGCGGGTCTGAAGCCTTTAGGGTTTAGGGTTTAGGGTTTAGGGTTTAGGGTTTAGGGTCTAGGGTTTAGGGTTTAGGGTTTAGGGTCCGACATGATGAGCCCCGTGAAACCCAACACCCTCCCTCTAGGCCCCCAAGCCTATAAGAGCCGTCTAGAACCCTTGTAAGACCCCATCGACCTTTATAGAACTCTTCCAGAACCCAGAGACCCTCAACCCTCAAACCGTCAACTTCCCTCAACCCTCAACCCTAAAATTCTCTAAACCCTAAACCCTAAACTTCTCTAAACTCTAAACCCTACACTTCCCTAAACCCTGAACTTCTCTAAACCCTAAACCCTAAACCCAGTGCCATCGGAAGCCAGGAACAGAGAGTGCAACTGCCCTCCAACATCACCAACATGCCGGTGGTCCAGAGCTTGGAGGCTCTATATGGGTGGTTGTCAAAATTATGGTACCTTATGTTGGGGTCTTTATAATAAGGATCCTACTATTTAGGGTACTATATTAGGGTCCCCTATTTTCGGAATCCCCCATATACTTTTATGGACTGTACATGGGTGGTTGTCAAAATTATGGTCCCCTTTTTGGGCCCTTATTATAATACGGCACTTATTATTTAGGGTACCCCAAAAGGGGCCATAATTTGGACAACTACCCATATACTTTTATGATTGTTAGTTTTGGTTTAGGGTTTATGGGTTTAGGGGTTTAGGGTTTAGGGGTTTAGGTGGTAGGGTTTAGGGGTTTAGGTGTTTAGGGTTTAGGGAGTTTAGGGTTTAGGGTTTAGGGTTAGTAGTGGTATAGTGCTGGTAGTGCTGGATTATTCATACTGTGATTGTCGTTGTTCAGCGATAAGTATCTGTGTTCGTACGCCTATCATTATTCCAGGATTATCGGTCTTGCTATTGCTAGGTTGGTGTTAGTGTTAGTGTCATGGCTATTGTTATTGTTACTAATATAGGGGCTTGAATAGTTTTTGGTCTGCAAAGCAGTTTCGAGGCTGCACTTGCTTTGCAGTAGTTGTATCATTGGTTTTAGGGTTTAGGGATTTAGGGTCTTATAATGACCTAAGGATTTAGGCCGCTTGGCGTTTAGGATTACCTACTCATCTAAGGGTTTAGAAGAGCTTAGAGGTTTTGGGTCTGAGGGTGTAGGTAAGCGTTTCTCTATAGTAATTTTCTGAAAACGGCGACGCAGGTCACGAATCAAGTTCATTTAAATCCTAAACCGTACAGTTTAGGGTCGGGGCTGGAGCAAGACCCACGAAACGTCACGCGGTCGCTTGACTGTTGGTTCGACCCTTCTAGGAAAAACCTAAGCCCTAAACCCTGAGCCCTAAGCCCTTTAATCCCAAATTAAACCCTAAGAAACCTCAAGCCCTAAACCCTAAGCCCTAAGCCCTATAATCCCAAATTAAACCCTAAGAAACCTCAAGCCCTAAACCCTAAGCCTTAACCCCTGTAATCCCAAATTAAACCCTAAGAAACCTCAGGCCCTGAACCCTAAGCTCTCCTATAACCCCTGATTAAACCCTAAGAAACCTCAAGCGCTAAACCCTAAGCCCTAAGCCCTATAATCCCAAATTAAACGCTAAGAAACCTCAAGCCCTGAACCTTAAGCTCTCCTATAATCCCAAATAAAAGGCTAAGAAACCTCAAGCCCTGAACCCTGAATCAAAAACTTCACAAGCCTGACAGCAGGATCTTAAACCCTAAACCCTAAAGCGTTGACAGCAGGATCTTGACCTCTTCTACTGTGAGGCCTCGCCGCGCGCAGGGTTTCGGGTTCAGGGTCCTGGAAGGGGACTCGCTTTTTGGGTAGTCTGGTGTTGTATAGAGGGTTTAGGGTTTAGAGCTTAGGGCTTTAGGTTTAAGGTTTAGGGTTTAGGGTTTTAGGGTTTTTAGGGTTTTAGGGTTCAGGGAGTTTGGGGTTCAGGGCAGTTTAGGGTGTTTAGGTGTCAGGGAGCTTAGGGTTCAGTACAGGGGCCCAACTAAGTACCGATACTGTTATTTGGGGGCGTTCCTTATTTTAGCTGTAGTGCATTATTAAGGCCCCTATATTAATAACTACCTATACTATTATTTGGGGGGGTTCCTTATTTTAACCACAGTGCAATATATCCCAAGACCTTATTCTCATTATTAAGGCCCCTATATTAGGGTGCTTCTGCGAGAGGTCAGTGCTCATTACCTTTCCGAGAATGTTTGCCTCGCTGTTGTTTAAATTGCACTAAACCCTAAACCCTATAAACCCAGACCCTAAACCCTCTAAACCCAAACCCAAACCCAAAGCCCTAAATTAAAAAAACCCAAACCCTAAGCCCTAAAACCTAAGTCTGAATCCTAAGCCCTAAACCCTAAACCTGAATCCTAAGCCCTATAAACCCTCAATCTGAATCCTAAGCCTTAAGTCCTAAATCTGAACCATCAAGTTCTAAACCCTAAACCTGAATCCTAAGCCCTAAGCCCTAAACCTGAATCCTAAGCCCTATAAACCCTCAATCTGAATCCTAAGCCCTAAACCCTAAATCTGAATCCTAAGCCCTATAAACCCTCCATCTGAATCCTAAGCCTTAAACCCTAAATCTGAATCCTAAGCCTTAAACCCTAAATCTGAATCATCAAGTTCTTCCTCAGCTCAATTCGAGGCTCCGCCGGCAGCAGCACCTCCTCGGCCGCAGCCGGTTGCGCGGGGAGCCCGTGCGAATTAGGCTAGGGTTCCTTTAATTTAGGGTTTAGGGGATACTATAAGGGTTCCTTTAAAGGGTTCCTTTAATTTAGGGTTTAGGGGATACTATAAGGGTTTCTTTAAAGGGTTCCTTTAATTTAGGGTTTAGGGGATACTATAAGGGTTCCTTTAAAGGGTTCCTTAAACGGGGTACTCTAAGGGATACTATAAGGGTTGCTTGAAAGGGTTCCTTAAAGGGGGTACTCTAAGGCATACTATGAGGGTTCTATAATGTAGGGGCCTTGATAATTAGAATAGGGTTTTGGGCCCCTTATACAGGATTCCGGTGCGTAGGGTTTGGGGTTTAGCGCTTGGGGTTTAGGGCTTAGGGTGTATGGCCTTAGGGTTTAGGGTTTAGGGCTTTGGGTTTAGCTTTTAGGGTGTAGGGCCTAGGGTTTAGGGTTTGGGGTTTGGGGCTTAGAGGTGCAGAAGTAAGGATTCAGGGGTTTAGGGTTTAGGGTTTAGGGTTTAGGGTTTAGGGTTTAGGGTTTAGGATTCAGAAGTGGTTAATTGAGGATTCAAGGGTTTAGGGCTTAGTAGGGCTTAGGACTCACAGGTATTTGGGGTTGAGGTTTGAGGGCCTGGGGTGGACGGGTTAGAGTGGAGAGGTGCAGGGCTGAAATTGTAGGGGTTTGGGTTTAAGGCTTAGTTCTCTGGCGTTTTCTGAGTTTGTTGCATCGGAGTTGGGGGTTCTGGGTTTAGGGTTTAGGGTTTAGGGTTTAGGGTGTGCTTGTGACAGCTGCTTGTATGTATGTACGGGCAGGAGGAGTAGAAGACAACCTAGGCCTGAGATTTGTGGATCCGGGCATAGGGTATAGCATTGAGGGTGTAGGGTTTCAGGTTCTTATACAGCGGGTTCTTGTACAAGTGTAGGTAAGAATGTAATAACCCAAAATCCTCAAAACCTCAAGCCCCAAAACCGACACCCTCAATCCAAAACCCTCGGCTCTAACAGCCCTAAACCCAAAACCTTCAATCCAAACCCCTGAAGTCTCAGTAATATGGGGCGGGGGGGCCTCAATAATTACCAATACTATCCTGGGGGTTCCTTATTAATATCTTAATAGACAATAGAATATACCCCAAAACCCTATTCCAATTCTTAAGGCCCCTACATTACCCGCAATCCAAACCCCTAAAACCCTAAACCCTAAACCCTGAAAGTCTGAAAGTCTCATTACCCGATTGAATTCAGAGAGCCTAAGGCCTATGGCACCAGCTTCTGCTGGTCTGGAGCAGGTTGCATCGCTGGGCTTCGGGGGTTCCGACGAGTATCGTCCTTTAGGGTTTGTTTGGCGGGTTGGGGTTTAAGGTTTAGGGTTTAAGGTTTAGGGCCAAAGTTTAGGGTTTGGGGGTGGATTACATAATTATGAGGGTACCCGGGTCAACCAGGATCTCAAAAGGGACCCTAACTTATTAGGTTTGTATGTGTGATATATAGATATAATTGTGTAATTGTACATATATACATGTTATTCTTATTAACCTAGTTTTGTTGAGGTTTTTCTACTTGTAGAGAGCACGCCGAATCTGAACATGGGTCTAGAGCAGGTTTTATTGAAACAGGAGCTGCTGTTCGAAGGACCGAGCCTAAACAACCCTACCGTAAGGGCCCATGTACCCAAATATTCGATACTTTGGTCCCGAAGTGCCAAATATTGACTACTTTAGGGCCGAAGTATATACTATTAGGGTACATGGACCCTTAGGGCTACCCTAACACGTTCTCCAATGCCTCCATCCAACCATGCCTCCGAGCACCTTTAGATCCACCCGCCCGGCCCCTGCAATTCTCATCCTTAAGCCGCTAGGCGCTAGAACTTGCCATGCAAGTTGAGTCTGATATGATTGGACCTCCATCTTCTGAGACCGTGCTTAGCCCCTAAACCCTACACCCTAAACCCTAAACCCCTAAATGAAGCATTGCAAGCCCTTCAAAACCCTAACCCCCGAGTCCTAGCCCTGCGACAACTTCGACTGGAAAGTCCCCTCAGATGCAGAACCTCTAGAGCACGCCTGAAAGGGTCTTATTCGGTTTAGGGTTTAGGGTTTAGGGTTTAGGGTTTAGGGTTTAGGGTGTAACATAGGGGGCTAAATAACTATCAAGACTTTTTTTTTTGGGGGTGGTGGGGGGGGGGGAGGGGGTGGGGTATTATAATTGAACTATAACATACCCCAAAACCCTTTTTCTATGTCTTTATATGTTTTAGGGTTGGGGTTACAGGTAGGAATGCTTCATAGCACCCTACTGTGTTACAGTGTTCACCCAGAGCATCTTCAACTTCGGCAACGTAGCCGAGTCTTCGTTTGAAGTCGTTGTTTTTTGGCATGTTAGGGTTTAGGTGTTTAGGGTTTAGGGGTCTAGGGTGTAGGGTTCTGGGTTTAGGGGAGGTTCAACTGAAAGGTTGAGGGTTTAGGGTTTAGGGTAAACCAACCCTAAACCCTAAACCCTAAACCCTAAACCCCAAAGTCTCCTAAACGCCAAGCGCCTTTGCTTTAGAAACGACAACTCACGCTAAGATCTTTTTAGCACCCCAGGCCCGCAACCCGAGATCCCAAACCATAAACCCATGCAGCTGCAACCCCGTACCCTACACCCTACTTGCTGTTTGAAGCGAGTGTTTAAAACTTATGTGCCCTAAGAATCCGCAGACCTTATGGACCCCATACACCCTACAAAGCTTACAAGCCCTGTAAGCCCCAGAAACCCCATAAGCCCCACAAGGCCTAGAAACCCGGAGCCCTAAACTCTTACAGACCCTAGCCCTAAAGATCTTCTGAGTAAACCCGGAAAGCCACATAAACCCTAAACTCTAAACCCAACGAAGGTTCGGCTTGCCGCGCCTGCTCCCCCTGCCGGCCCGGTGGGCACAGCGGTCTTCGGCGAGGATGATGAGTCGGACGAGGTCGCACACCCTGAACCCGCCGTTAATCCCATAGGCCTACCTTTGGGGTGGTTTCCTTATTATGGCTTCTTGGTATGATCCCGAAAACTAAACCCTAAACCGTACCTGAGAATGCCGTCGTATGCATTTCTTTATAGGTGTGGGGAGCCGGGTCTCGGGATTGGGTTTACAAGCGTGAGGGTTTAGCGTTTCGGGACCCTAAACCTGAAGCAATATCGGAGTTGATTGGGGTTTCCGGAGTTGGGCTGATGTTGTGTGCTTCAGCTTCCATCATGCAGCTACTTATATGAATCGACGGCTTAGGGTTTAGGGTTTCGGGTTAGGGGTGTTTGATTGGACGATAGCAGCCCTTTCGGGGTACAGATTGCAGGCTTGTCGCTTTTGGCCCTGGTAGTGTGCCCTTCCAACAGCTTTCCGTGCTATCATGAATGAGAGCTGTCAGTCCTCATCCATGCTTTGTGCATAGTAAGTACCTAACTTATTCAAGCCACCTCAAGGAATCTCAGACCTCAACTCCCAAACATTATATCCTCCGTTCCTATTCAGGAGGAGGATGACGAGGATGACTGGAAGTACTGCCAGCAGGCAGCCCCGAAACCCGGGCCGCCCCAAACCTCCTCCGACCCCACGCCTCCTCCCTCGGCCTCCTCCCCGACCCCTGCGCCACCCGAACCCAGTCCCATGGCCGCCACCCCGGCACCCCAAGCACCAGCGGAGACGACTGCTACAGGGGCGCCTGAGGGAACCCTTCCATCAGACTCCCTGGTGGCCCCTCTGGCGCCTGAAGCTGCCCTTGAAGAGGCAGCGAATGAGAGCAGACCAGCTCCGGCGGAGCTGCCCGACTTGCTCTAAGCGCTAACCGGTTTAGGGGTTTAGGGGTTTAGGGTTTAGGGTTTAGGGAACCACACCCCGCAGCTGTAGCTCCCAGCTCAACTTAGTCGTAGAGTAGGTAACTGTTGAACCATGTTTGAGGAATTATACATCCCAACGGTTAAGCTCAACCTAGTAGTAGAGTAGGTAGCCTTTGACCCGTTTTTGAGGAATTACCCTAAACCCTAAACCCTAAACCCCGAACCCTAAACCCTAAACCCCAAAGGTTAAGCTTTTGTTCCCCCAGGATACTGGACAAGCAAACCACACCCCGGAGCCCAAGCCCCCAAACCCTAAAGGCCCTAAAACTGGGTCTAGGGTTCAGGGTGGCCCAAACCTCTAAAGCCTAAACCCTAAGCATGAGAGACTGGAGGGTAAGTCCAGCCACACACAGTCGAAGCAAGAGAAGATCAAAGCCAGAACAGATGAGGCATATGATGGGGACCTCAACAATTAGCATAGAGTTTGGGGCTACGCGAGTACAAATTTGAATCGGGAAGCCTCACGAATAGCATTGCTACTCATATCGGGTCCAAGTTACCAGGTTATTTCTCCTTTTGACGATGCACTGTACTAATGATGAGGCCTTTTTCGCAAGCATTTGCAGTTCAATCCCCGGGACAGCCCTAAACCCCTAAACCCTAAACCCTAAACCCTAAACCCTAAACCCTAAACCCCTAAACCCTAAACCCAGAGCTGTCGGTCAAGCAGTAGGTGACACGCCTGGTTTGAGCAGTGCTTGCGCGAAGAAAAGTGCGGAACCATGAAACTCCCAAAGGGTCCTCGGTCCTCGGTACGGTTTAGGGTTTAGGGTTTAGGGTTTAGGGTTTAGGGTTTAGGGTTTAGGGTTTAGGGTTTAGGGTTTAGGGGGGATACTTTCGCAAATCATGCTAAGGATTCCTAATCGACAGACCCTACATTCTACCATATAGATCCCTTGGGCCTTTGGGACGACCATAGACAGCCGCCAATCGTGTCGCTGGCAGAGTGCCGGGCTGACTTATATGGGCTGGTACAAATCGAAGTCTTGCACGTTTTGGATTCCGGATGTATGTTTTAAGACTCAATAGTGGCGTGGGGTCCTCTCACGCCGGGCTTAGAGTAAGTTTTTGGCCATGGGAGCGGCCGTCTGAAGACGTTGTTCGTTCACCTGAGTCCCCGATACTCCTTTACTGGGCTTCTGTTCTCTCAGCCCCACCCTGCAGTGCCCGCCACTATCCTATACCTTGAAGTATCAATACCTCATTCTTTGTAGGTCCCTTTTAAAGACTTGATGGGGGGTTAGCATAAATTAAAAACGCACATAAAGCAGGCTCTGGTAGCTGAACGTATGTATATATATATATATATATAGCTAACTGGACTCTCAAGATTTGTGCAAGATGTTGAGGCGATGAGTGGAAGCCACGGCATCGAGCAACTCCAGACAAACTTCACTAAGGAATACGTCTTAAGACAGAGGACATACTAAGGAGCCTCCGATATCCTAAGGTAAACTCCTTGGGTTTAGGGTTTAGGGTTTAGGGATTAACTGGTTCTGCAGTTACTGGGTATCACCTCACCCCCCTCGCGTGCTCGCAGCCACACTCCTCGAGAAGGACCAGAAGCTGTCCGCTCGATCTTGTGAGAACATCGGTTTAGGGTACATGTCTGAGACGGGGTATGTATGTCGGCCACAAGGGAGCTGCAAGAACTTTTGTTTTGGATTTAAGGTGCAGACTCCGAAAAAGGAGCTCGAAAGAAATGTAGACCGTTGACGACACCCAACCCATGTTTGGATTGCAGAGGGTTTCGCCTTAATTTCGAAACCTGCCTGGCAGCCGCACCTCGACGGGCCTTTCTGCAGCCATGGATTTCAAGAGTTACTTGGCCTTGCAGCTTAGTTCTTCATGAAGACTGGCTGGATTTCTCTCAAAGCTGTCAGAACCCATGCTTTTCATATCAACAGCGAGTTGATCTCTCGCCCCAGGCAAATTTATCATCCCTGTTGCCTTACCAGGTCTGCAGCGGAATCAAGTCAACACTAGAAGCTTCTTACCACAAACGACAACATGAAAGGGAATTGTACAAGCTTGCAAACAAATACAGAATATGACTATATATATATATACCCATGTACATACATACAGCGAGAGGGAGGGAGAGAGAGAGAGAGAGAGCTTTGCTCTTCGCATATGCATATACATATTATACATATACATACGGCTAGGTAGGTAGGCAGGTAGGCAGGCAGGCAGGTAGGCAGGTTGGCAGGTAGGCAGGTAGGTATGGAGGGAGGTAGGTGGGCGGTAGGTTGGTAGGTGCAGGTAGGTAGGTGTGTGTGTGTGTGTGTGTGAGTGTTTACACATATGTAGGCGTGCTCACGAGCGCGCACACACACACACACACACACATGCATAGTTTCGGAGACATGTCTTGCTTGATGGTTGAATGTAGTTGGTTGTCGAAAGCGTGGTTCAGGAGCCCGAACCCCAAAACCCTCAAAATGATCGCGCGGTGGGTCTTGCCGTTGACAGTAGATTTGGTTTATCAGCCCGAGTCGTGTTATCGGCGTCCCCGCCCCGTGCGGCTGGAGAACGTTTCCATTCAACTCAACATCAATTTGCAACGTTGGAGCTCTTAAAGTATTCACCAGGGTTTTGGAAGGGATGCGGTATGTCCGGGTTCCCCTTCGAGTTTTTAACTTTGGAGACAGTTTGCTGAAATATAAACGGCCGTCATTTAGATGGATCACGGCGTTTGCAGGTTTGATGCACAGCGAGCTGGGCAAACATCTTCGGGTGGTTAGGCTTGTGCGATTTACCAAGTATTGGGTCACAAGGTTTCTGGTGCAAAGGTGTCAGCGGAAAGTGTTCGTTCTTCTGTCCGCAGCCCTTTGGCCTCAAACAGCCATAAGAAATGCTGAGAGCCTCGTTTTCTAATCCCCATGCGATAATGTCCATCCCTATATATTGGGCTATCTGTCTTTCTGCTTTGTTTTCATGAGGTTGAGTTCCGCTATTGAAGTTTGCAGACTCATCATGCATATGCTTCAGTAGGACGCCTCGTAGCAGCTATCTTCGACCCAGTGTATAGACCACCTCCCTAAACCCCAACCTCTAAACCGTATTTAGGTTTAGGGCTTAGACCCCCTACGGTTTAGGGTTAGGGCCAAAACGCGACACCCTACGTCCTGCATCCCCAGCTGAAACCTAAACCCTAAACCCTAAACCTTCTATGCCCCATACTTGCGTGGGTCCCTTCTCTAGGGCTCCCTGAGCCCAGACGAAGGACAGCAACCGTTGCACCACCCTAAACCCTAAACCCTAAACCCTAAACCCTAAACCCACGGTTGTTGTTGGTTAGGCCTTCGGAGTTCCGGATATAGGAGTTTCTTAGGGTTTAGGGGTTTGGGGTTTCGGAGTTCCGGATATAGGAGTTTCTTAGGGTTTAGGGGTTTAGGGGTTTAGGCTTCAGGGTTTCGTTGTTTTGTGATCGGCCGGGTGATGTCGGATAGTATGGGATGCGGGGAAGGGCGGGGGAAGACCTTGCGTGCGCACGGTCCTTTGGGAGACTAACTGATGACACTGATCCAGATGTAGGCAGGACAGGGTTGACGATGTTACGGATTTGGGTTAGTATCTGCTGGGCTCTTTCCGAATGCGACTTGCGTGCATTTCTGCGGCTATGAGCGATGCGTCCTAGGTAGTATTAGGGAGAACCCTTTAAAGGAGACCCTTCTTAACACTACTTCTGGGATACCTACTTCATGTTCGCTAGACCTTAAGCCCTACAACCTCCGAGTGATGCTTAGCAGGGTTGTGTGCTCCTAAGCCGAAGTCCCAAACTGAACCCCTAAACCCGAAGCCCTAAACCCTAAACCCCAAAACCCACTGGACCCCTAAACCCTTAAAACAGCCGAATACCCCTTCACTGCGGAACTTCCTTAGATACCCTCAACATAGGGGCCTTAAGTGGGATATCCCTATCCTAATTTTGCTTCTGTGTTTCTTTGAACCCTAAACCCTAAACCCTGAACCCTAAACCCTATTGTAGTTTTGCTTATGTGGGCCCTAAATGGGATGCCAGGAGCTCGTCATGGCGAAGAAAATGAGAAAGAGACCTGTGGAGGCCAGCTGAGGGTTTAGGGGTTTGAGTTATAGGACTTATACGGTTCAGGGTTAAGGCTTTAGAGGTTAGTGTTCTGGGCTTAGGCTTTAGGGGTAGGTGTTCAGGTTTTTGTGGAGGGTTTAGGTTTTAGGGTTGAGTTTAGGGTTGAGGCTGCATTTCGGGGGTAGTGTTCAGGGTTCCGGGTTTAGGATTTAGGTTTGTACATTCAGCTTCAGGGTTTTCGAGCCTAGGGGTCAGGGTTTAGGGTTATGCCCAATTGGGCTTCAGACATTCAGGGACTCGGATATCAAACCTGTAGAGGCTTACCCTAAACCCTAAAACCTAAACCCTAAGCATGTATAGGGTGCTGAGGGGAGGGTGGTTCAAGGGGGGAGGGTGCAAGGGGTCCCTAGAAAACCGTACAGGAACGTTAGGGAGTACCAGGGAAAATCAACCCCTTGGACGGGTTGAGGGGTTAGGGGTTTAGGGTTTAGGGTTTAGGGTATCTCTTGAGGATCCTATAATGCATTTCTAGGAATCGCAATAGTTCGTATGGCTTAATCGTCCACAGTAGTGTCTCAGTTCTCATTGCTCATGCCATGGGATTTTGGGCTGTGCGAGCTTTTTATCATACAGGTCTGAAAGACTAGCAAGACAAGAACCAGTCAGTAAGACTGCTGGCGGCACCGTCTGTGCACGGAATATTCGGCTTGCTCTCTCACTCGTGTCCACATATATATATATATATGTAGATATATACATATATATATATATACACACACATGCACACGTACATATGCAGGCGCCATCAGACATAGGTGCAGCCATATACTGGCCGGAAGCGGGCTGCAAACGAGAACATCACAGAAAAACCTGCGAAGCCATCAACCTGTGACCCTAAACGGCTAACCCCCCAAACCCTACAATCCATAAACCTTAAATTATTGAAGCCCCAAATTCTACACCCCATAAGCCCTAACCCCCGAAACCCTACACCCCATAAGCCCTAAACCCCAAAACTCTGCAGCCTATAAACCCTAAACCCTAAACCCCAAATTCTACAGCCTATAAACCCTAAACCCTAAACCCCAAATTCCACAGCCTATAAACCCTAAACCCTAAACCCTAAACCCCAAATTCTACATCCTATAAACCGTAAACCCGTTAACTAAAGCTCAAGGAGCAGATCACGGACGAGATGGAACTGGTTTGGGCTCCCATGGGTAGCTATGTCCCCAAGCATCTCGGTGAGGGGATTCTTCGGGGTTTGGAGTTTTTGGGCTTCAAAGTTCGAAGTTTAAGCGTTTTAGGGGTTTGGGATTTAGGGTTTAGTGCTCTCAGGGTTTAGGCGGGCCGTTGGGACGTTTGGAGTTATATTGTCCTTCTAAGAATTCTTACTGACATGTGGTCGCCAAGCCCTCTACTCAGGGGTTACATAAACCCTAAATTACGGTTTAGGGTTTAGGGTTTTAGGGTTCAGGGTTTGGGGAACCCTAAACCCTAAACCGTTACTAAACCCCAATGCCACTAAACCCTGAACCCTAACCTAAGCTCTAAACACCCTAAACCCTATCCTACGCCCTAAACCCTACTACCTAAACCCTACGCCCTAAACCCTATATTCTAAGCCAACCCTAAACTAAACCCTACTCCCTAAAGCCCTATGTTCGTCGTCCTAAACCCTACTCCCTAAACCCCCTACGTTTGTCGGGCTTGGGCCTGGCGCTGCTATGTTTCAGAGGTCGAGTCAACTCTTGCAACTCACAGGGTTTTAAACTGGGTTCTTGTTAGGGTTTGGGGTTTAGTGTTTTAGGGTTTAGGGTTAGGGTTTAGGGGTTAGGGTTATTTTAAGTTACGGTAGTAAAGGCGCAAGTACACGGCCTTTACTAAGGGTCCATGTGCCTCATTGAGGATTGCCAGAGATCCGAGTTCGCGCTAAATCCGGAATGTAGCCTACCTCACAATATTGAGCCTTTGACAAGCTACGGCACACCAGACCCTATTGGGCTCTCTGCCTCGAGGGTGTACAGAATGTGCAGGCACATGGATAGTTAGGTCAGACGACCCTAAACCCTAAACCGTGGCACTGTTTCGGGTGCTGCAGGACAGGACAAGCGAGCATTCGCTGGCGGCGTTACGTGGGAGCGCGGACGGTGAAGGACCTGGTTCACGGTTTACAGGACGCTGAACCCTAGATTGCTATATCCCTAAACCCTAAACCCTAAACCCTAAACCCTAAACCCTAAACCCTATATCGAAACCTGTTCTTTTGCAGGGATCCCCGTGATTTCTACCCTCAACCCGAAGCCCCAAACCCTAAACCCAAAACTATATTAACCTAAAGAGCCTACCAAAAAGTAGGTTATGGCAGTTGTCAAAAACCTAAATCCGAAGCCCCAGGGCCAAACCTAAACCCTAAACCCTAAACCCTAAACCCTAAATCCTAAACCCTAAACCCTAAACCCTAAACCCTAAAGCCCTAAAACCCTAGAACTCTGAACCCTAAACCGGGAACTTAAGGCCGAGGAAACCAAAAAAGAGCGCTGCAGCTCCGGGCCTCGCTAAACCTCAACCGTTCTTGGGCTTCATAGCCACAGGGTTTAGTGTTTAGGGTTTAGGGTTTAGGGTTGAGGGTTGAGGGTTTAGGGGTTAGGGGTTTAGGGTTTAGGGGTTTAGGGTTTAGGGTTTAGGGTTTAGCGTCGCGATCATAAAGCACATTATCCAGGTCTAGGCAGATTTATCAGTTCGGCATACTTGCACGGTTTGGACTCGGATGGAGCTGTCGGGCCCGGGCAAGGAGGAAACATAATATATATATATATATACAGATACACATGTCTGTAGTTGTGCATGCATGCATGGATGCATTGTTGTATGTACGTATGTATGTATGTCTGTATGTATGTATGCATGTATGTATGTAGGTATGTAGCTATATACACATTCATATCACTTATATAGTTATTATTGGCATTAGCGTTATCTTTTTCATGTCTTCATCTTATTTGTTATTGTCATTATTATTATTATATCACGATAACTGTTGTGGTTATTGGTTTTCTTTTTGTTTGTTATCATGAGTTTTGTGTGCGTCATTGTGACTATAGCTATCATTCTCATCACCGTTATTTTGGGTATTGTAATTATCATTGCCATTGTTAGTATCATTACTCTTCTTGCGAACATGATTACCATTGTTATTGGTACTCGAATTATTCTGCTGTTTATCATCACTAGTCTGTTTTATTGCTATTATGTTTTGCTAGTATTGTTATTGTTGTTACTATAGTTGTAACTATGAAGAGTGATTAGTGTTGTCGTATTTGTTGAGGTTGTGGTGGTTGTGGTTGTGGTTGTGGTTGTTGTTGTGGTTGTTGTTGGTGGTGGTGGTTGTGCCGTTATTATTGTCACTTACATTAGTGTTGTTACTGGTTGTTTCAATGATGGTTACTGTTGTGAACTGTTATCCTTGTTGTTAGTAGTATAGCTGTGAGTAGGGTTCTGATTATGAGGATGATGATGATCTTGATTAGTGCTGTCAACCAACATCAGTACTATCATGACAACTGGGTCATCTGTGTTGTTCGTTATTCGAATTGTTAGCAACATGATCGTTATGGTTATGGACATGACTACTTGTTCAGTGTTTCTGTCTGTTATGACGATGATGATGGTGATGATGAAGACGACTACTATGCCGATGATGACCGTCATGATGATGATTAATACATTCTGTTATATCTTACTTATTATTGGTAGTGCGTTTGTTATCTCATTGTTATTGTCGTTTATTGTCCTACATGTCCGACTCCTGGCTTGGTGCAGTCGCACTTTATAGTGCTCTCATCATCGTCGCGGCGCTGGCCGCGGTGCTTAAGACCTATGTGGGTGGTTGTCAAAATTATGGCCCCTTTTTGAGTCCTTATTATAATACGGCACCTATTATTTAGGGTACCCCAAAAGGGACCATAATTTTGACAACTACCCATGTGTCAGAGAAACCTCGCCGAAGTCGCTGCAGCAGCCGCGATCATGCGTGTAGGGGAGTCGTTGACCATCGTCGTGACGACGGCCAGCTGCAACGGACAGGCATCTGCGCTTGTTTCATGAAGGGTTTAGAGTTTAGGGTTCAGGGTTTCGGGTTTAGGGTTTAGGGTTTAGGGTTTCGGGTTTAGGGTGGACGACTTTACCTGAGCGACTCATCTTCTTCGCTGCGTGTTTGCGCATGCTTTGGAAGCTCCCGCAGTCTGCTTCCATCCCTAAACCTAACCTACACCCCTAAGCCCTATACGGCTGATGGCATAAAACCTGCATTACCCATAATAAGGAACATATCATAATTCCCCTAGTTTAGGGTCCTTAAGTGATGCAGGATTTATACCAACAACAGTATTTCTCTTATAGCATGCCGTATGAAGAAAATGAAGCTAACCTCAACACCCTCAAAAAGAGCCAAACCTCTAAATCCCCAGAACCGGAAAGGAGTTCTATGAGCGAGGTGGCTTACAAATAGACCTTCTCTGGGACCTGCAGCGAGGGCTACTTGGTGTGCCACTGACTTCTTGCAAAGTCTCAGGGCTCCTTGAAGGGTTCCCACAAGTTTAGGGTTTAGGGTTTAGTTTAGTGTTTAGGGTTTAGGGTACCCTAAACCCTAAACCCTAAATTTTAAACCCCAATTCCTGTAGCTCTAAACCCCAAACCCTAAGCCCTAAACCACAATTCGTGTAACCCGAAACCCAAACCCAAAACCCAAACCCCAAGTTTTGTAATCCGAAACCCTAGACCCTAAACCCTAAACCCTAAACCCTAAACCCTAAACCCTAAGGGCTCCTTTAAGGTTTCCTTTAAGGGTTCCTATAACGTCCCCTTGTTCAGGAATCCTTAGTGGGTTTAGGGGTATTTTAGGCTTGAGGTTTTAGGAATTTCGGGCTTTTGAGCTTAGGATCTGGGGTTGCAGGTTTGCGGGATTACATGGAGCTTAGCGTCCCACGGTTTAGGGTTTAGGGTTTAGGGTCTAGGGTTTAGGAGTTCAAAATACTTGAAATCCTTTAGTATCGCCATCGCTGAATCGAGCCGTTCGGGTTTGAGATGTCGTGCACTTCGTGTCTTTCGCCATTCTACCCTCCGGGAGCTGGAGCCGTGAGTTGCGGTTCAGGGTTTTGGGTTCAGGGTTCAGAGTTTAGGGTCTGCGGTGTAGGGTCTCGGATTTACCAGGTTTCGGGTTTAGGGTCAGGCATCTGCAGGATCGAGTTATATAAGTGTTCTTTGGGTTTGTTTTGATCCTTCGGGTGTGCATCTGGTCTTGGGGTTTGGCGCCGCGGCAGCAGCACTTCTGACAGATTAATGCAACTTCCATTTCTCTCTGATCCCAGACAGGTTTCTGAAGCTTGAGGCTTTAGGGCTCAGGGTTTTTTCAAGGGATTACGTGCTTGGCCATTGCGATTCGCCTCACAGATTACCTTGATTACCCGCAGAACCAGCGGACTTTCCCACACGGGTGTAGCATTTTTGTTGGTGTCCGCTTGAGGTTGCCTTACCGTAACCACAGAACCTCCTCAGTGGGTTCCGGGTGGGGGCATCAGCACTTTGAGGCTTTCGGGATTTAGGTTTCAAGTTGTAGAGCTTTAGGAGTTTACTTTTTGTTCCTCTTAGGCATTTTGCTGTATCGTCGTGATAACAAAACTCCAGGGGTTTGTTTAACAAGCAATATGTTGGTTCTCAGGGTGCGCAAGTCTATGGTCGATGCTATTCTGGCTTTATCGGAGCCCCGAACATGCTATAGGACCCTTAAAAAAGTTCTATAGAAGCCTACTAAGTACCCATATTATTCCTCATGTAGGAGTGCCTTTTTCAAACTCTACTGCAAGGGACCCAGAGCCCGATTCTAATTATCAAGGCCCCCGCAGTAGTTCAAGCAAGGAGGGGACCGCTAGGGTAGAGACTTTGGAGAGCACTGAGGAGAAGAAGGGACTATCGGGACCCCCCCCCTTTCAGGATCCCATAAACGGGACCGATACCCTACATCCCTTAAGCCCTAATTCAACCCTGTAAAGCCTTAAACCCAAAGCCCTAAACCCTAAACCCTAAACTCCAAACCCAAAGCCCTCAATCCTAAACTCTAAACCCAAAGCCCTAAAGCCGCAAGATCTCAGGTATGCCAGGCTAGCGCACACGATCTCCTACGATCACGTTTTCGACGACGTCGACGAGGCTTTGTGTTCGGGTTTGAGGGTTTGGGGTTTCAGGGCTCAGGGTTTAGGGTTCAGTGTTTAATGCTTAGGGTTTATAGGGGAGTGTAGGGTTCAGGGTCTAGGGTTAAGGGTTCTGGGGGTGTACGGTTTGAGGAGCAAGTCATCGGTACAAGCTTTGGTGCGCTGAGACCCTGAACCCTAAGCCCTACACCCTAAACCCTAACCCTAAACCCTAAGCCTTAAACCTTAAACCCCTTAGCGTTCAGGAGCCGAGCCACGCCCGTGGCGCACACGCCAATGACCGCGCCTTGCGAAGTCGCCCGAGCGAGGAGAGCTTGAGACGTGTTGCAGTGTGCAGGTCCGCGCTCCCCCAGGATTGGAGCACAAAGAGGCCGCGGACCAAGTTGAGATACCGCTCTGTCTCCCTGCTGCTTGGCCCAGGTAAACCGGAAACTTCCTATTGGCCACTACTCCCCCCGACCAGGCTCCATCGTGGCCGCTTTCAAAGCTTGCTTTCAGCAGCTTGGCCCTTTCGGGTGCATGTCGAATGAAGAGCGATGGATTGGAAGTGAACAGATAAGACCCTAAACCCTAAACCCTAAACCCTAAACCGTGAAGACACTTGCTGACTGAAGATCAGCTGCAGCAGCTCCAGCCTCGTTACGGCAAGGGAACTGTGCGTCCTCCTTGTCCTAGTGACCTTACTGCTGCCTTGAGAAGCGAAGCGGCGGCAAAAAGGAGCCGAAAGCAAGAACAACTTTAGGGTCTAGGGTTTAGGGCCCTAAATCCTAAAGCCTGGACCCTAAGCCCTTGAGCCCTAAACCCCCAAACCCTATTCCCTAAGCTTACTACGGTGTTTTTTGGGCCTTGTTTGGTTTTCCTTAAAAAGACCCGGCGAGGTGCTGATCTGCCGTCTAACGGAGTAGTTCCCAACATTCTCTGAATAGCCTAGTCGTACAGTACGTAACGTTTAGCTTTTTTTTGGGTATTCAGATCCTTAAATAGTCCAAAAGCTTATTAACCTTTAGTTCAGCTAGGATACTGGATAAGTAAATTAGGTCTCCCAGTAGTACCATTTTGCACTTTTTGTTTTGCGGTCTCCTTCTTAAAACCGAATAAGAGGGAAAGGGCACGCTGATTCTTCAGGGAGTATTCGGGGACCTGGAATGAGGTTTTAGGGAAGCCCAATAATAACGGTTTGGGGGTTTGATGTCAGCGCCATCCAAAGATCGGCTTGGCCTAGGAGCTCTCAGGCCAAGTAGCGGTTTTTCGGGCTGTGGATCTTGGGAATCTAGGGATTTTAGGGTTTATGTCTTCGAGGGTTTAGGGTTTAGTGGATTTCGGATTGAGTAGGGTGGTTGGAGTTCGTGTATGAGGGTGCCAGCCCCTTGTGATCTTCCAGGTTATCATCATTGCCAGCAGTTTTGTTGGCACTGCTAGTTCCAGTAGTGGCGTGGTAGCGGTGCTTGCACTAAAGAAGCAACATTCCTCTTGTGCCGTTTTTGCTTGTCAGGAACCTGCCACAGCTTTCTGTTCCACGGCATATCATCTGACTCTCAGAGGAAGACCTAAACCCTAAACTCAGCGCTTCCACCCTAGAGAACCTTAAACTACTCAAAGCCTCAAAGCCCTCAAGCCTAATCACCCTGAAGAAACACTACAGCCGTAGAAAGCCACCCCAAACCCTAAACCCTAAGCCCTTAAAGCCTAAGCCCTTAAACCCTGAACCCTAAGCACTAAGCCCTTAAAGCCTAAGCCCTTAAACCCTAAACTCAAAGCCCTAAACCCTAAAGACTAACCCCTTCTTCAAGTCGAAACAGGAAAGCCCAAACTGGCTTCTACGTCTCAGGATAGGCCCAATTAACCCTAAGTCCCGAGGAACCTACAATATAGGGCCCTAGGGGCTCTAGTACCGTATTTTAGTAGGTACATGGGAGCTTAGGGTAAGCTACCCGGTAGCTTAATTGGGCTTATCCTGCTGCGAAGTGTATGAAAAGCTTGCTTTCTAATGATTCTAATTCCTCTGAGCCTCTCTTTCAGCCCTAAACCCAAAACCCGAAACCGTTATTTCAAACCCTCAACCCCCTGCGACCTCCTTAATTCTCCAAAAATGACGCCCGAGTTTTTAACTCGTTGGGGCCCCATCCGTGGAGGCTTTCCTCAAACACTTCAAGGTCGGCTTGGGGAATAGGTTTAGGGTTTAGGGTTTAGGGGGTTGGGGTTTTTTAGGGTTTAGGGATTTAGGGTTTAGGGTTTAGGGATTGGGGTTTAGGGTTTAGGGGTTTAGGGTCATCATCACTTTGTGGGTAGTTCTCTAAATTTGGGGCCGTTTCAGGGTCCTGATTATGATGGTGCCGTACTATATTGGGGACTTAAAAGGGACCCTAATTTGGAGAACTACCCGTTCATTGATGGAATCCTAAACCCCTAAACCCTTAAACCCGAAACCCTAAGGTGTTGGCGTTTAGGGTTTAGGGTTAGAGGAGGGAGGGAGGGTACTGGGAGTCCCAGTGGGAACCTTACGCAGTGTCCGGGATGAACTACACTTATATAGGGGCCTGAATAATCACCTCTACTTTTTTGAGGGCTCCTTATTGTAGTTATAGTATAATATACCCCAAAACAGTATTCTAATTATCAAGGCCCTTTCCCCCTTCTCTCTCTTGAAGATGTAAGAAAGGCCAGCGGTTTCGGTCGGGGTGTTGGGTTTGCGGGGTTTCAGGGTTCGGTTTTAGAGTTCAGGGCTTGGGTTTTCGGGCCCTTTCAGGGTTAAGGGTTTAGGGCTTGGGTTTTAGGGCCCTTCCAGGGTTTTGGATCTGGGGCCAAATCCAGGGTTTATGCTGGATTGGTTATTAGGGTGCGGAGTTTAACTTATTTAAGCAATGCTGGGCTTTTGGAGTAGTTTCCGAGAACCCCTAAAACCCTGAATGAAGGGATCTTATTACGACTTTATATCCCTCTGAAGCGTATTGGGCTCGGTTAGAATTCTGGTTTCGGGTTTCGGCTTGGGTTTTGAGCCTTCTGCCACTGCCTTGCAGGTTTAGGCGGGTCCTTGAAGGTCCCTGTGGCATCCCCCAGACCTCCAGTGACCTAAATAGTAGGCTACTGACAACATTTTATGTACCCCGAACCCTAAACCCATAACCCATAAACCCTAAACCCTAAACTTTTAGGATAAGTTATGCCTCTAGTAGGTTACTGACAACATCAACATCTTATGTACCCCAGTAACCTATAAGCTTACCCTAAACCCTAAACCTTCAACGCTAAACCCCAAACCTTTAGGTACCTGGAGCCCAAAATTTAAACCTCAACGCTAAGCCCCAAACCTGTAGGTACCTGGAGCCCGAGGGATGTCTGATGTTGGAAGCTAGTGCATCGTGTCAACCACAGGTGGGGAATTTAGGGCATATAAGGCTTCTATAAGGCTTCTATAAGGTATGTAGACCTTCTATAAGGCTCCCATAACGGTAGCTGTCAGTGGGATCTGAGCCCCCAAAACCCTAAACCGTTAATATAGCGACCCTATAAATTAGAACAGGGTCTTGTGGCCCATTATACTACAATCACAATAAGGAACCTCCGAAACCCTATTTTAATTGTTAAGGCCCCTACATTAACCGTCCTAAGCCCAAACAACCCTTAGACCCTTAAACCCTGGCATGATTTCAGATCTGAGAAGTGTAGGAGAATTTTCTGTCAATTCCGGAATTCCTGTATTTGGGGGGCCTGCCGGGTCATCATCACTTTGTCGGTGGTTCTCTAAATGAGGGTGGCTTTTAGGTTTTTTTTTTTAAATAAGGGTGCCGTACTATATTGGGGACCTAAAAAGGGACCCTAATTTAGAGAACTCCCCTTGTTGATTCTGATACTCCCTCTGCCATGGTCCTGATCCTGTGCAGCTTCTCATACTGTTCTAATACCCGGCAAGCCCAGTGCCCCTAAGCAAGGCACATACCTTCAGTTGTAAGGGGTGTAGGGTTTAGGGTTTCGGGTTTCGGGTTTAGGGATGAGTGTTGTGATGTAAGGATATTCCTCCACTCAGAGGTCCATGGACCTTTTGTGGAAGCTTATACCACCCTAGAAGGATCCTTGCAAAGTCTTCTAACATGTCAACCCTTAGCCCTAAACCCTCGGGAGGTCCACGGCTATGCCGTGCTGCGGAACGCCTTGGGGGCTCAGAGGCAAAATAAGTTCATCGATGAGTTCTGGAAAGCCATGAAGCTGCTTGGCTACGCTTTGACAAGATATCAGGATTTTTGGAAACAGACTCCGGAACCACAAACAGACTCCGGAATAGTAAGCATCTACACACCAATGTTGGGCATCATCCTCTTGGGGTTCCTGTGCATTTTACCCAAAAATTTTCGATTCATTTCTGTGCTTCATATGCATTGAAACAACGAGCACATATTGAACCGAGGCTGCAATCAAATAATATGTCTCTCTTCTCGTATCATATGAGGTACCCCAGCATCG